AATAAATAATCAATCATAAATTTTCACATCTATAATAGGAACAAGCACATTTCAGATGAATGGCACCCTTGGTTGTCAGTTTTTGTGGACTAGCAGGAATCTTCAAAATGCAGCAGCTGCCAGCAGCATCAAAAAGTGAGGATGAGACTGTTTGTAGAGAGAGCACTTGAAAAAATAGCAACTCCGTGCTCTGCTGTGGACTCTACACACTGGGCATGACCATAAAACTTTTTTAGCTGTGTGTAGCAGCGTTCGCTATACAGAGAATGTATTTTTTCACTAAGCCCAAGGATGGCTCAGGACCCCTACAGTACCCCTAGAGTAGGGTGCATTAAAGTATGAGAACAATTTATTTTTTACACTAAGGACACAGACTAGACAAAAGCTCATAAAGCATTTTTAACCTGGTGTAAATTTAGAAGTTACTTGTGAGCCGGCAAATTGCAAGGTAAGCTTGTTACTTGAAGTGTAGCATTACAAAATCATTGCTACAAAAGGAAGGATGCAATAAATTGCATTAATTAAATTAAAATTAACACTTTTAAATTATCACTTACTTGTTAAAAGCTTTCATGAAAAGCATTTGTACAATTCCTCCGTAGTTCTTTGTTATGCATATTTTAATGAACTTTTAACACACTCACAAGCTATTTGTGAGTAATATGACTAACACAACTGGCTAAATTACATGAAGCTTTGGAAATTGACTGTACGGACTCGTGTAACATAGCCGAACTGACTTCAATAATATCCCATGTGTAATACGCATCTTATAATTACAAAATATAATTACTTCAATCAAGTTTCATGACGGAAAAAGCGGTGGAAAAAAGGCAGAGCTGTTCTCAGGGTGGCCAGTGCTCCTACCCTCCACCCTCCTCCAATCAATGGCAGATTGTATTGTTTCTACACTTTAAACAAATCGAGTATTAGGGGAGTGTTTCTGCTACACAACAATAATGCTCATCCACTTGGAGTACTTTCCTTGTGTTATCACCACAGTTCCGGTAGTTCGCAGTCGCCAACGACGCACCTTATCAGCGTGACACAGCATTCCCAACAGAAAAGTGGCCATCGCCAGGTTTTCAAGAAAGAAAACGGGAGCAAGTCAGATGACGATTATTGTTGTGTAGCAATACTACTCTCCAAATACTCCATTGTTTCTTAAAGTATCACTTCTCTAAAGCTGAAAGTGTTTATGACTGTACTATGCCCGCAGTTAAACAAGCAGAATAAGCAGGCCCAACACATCCTCGATGCTTTAGGAATAAGGCTATATGATTTCTGCACTTGTATTTTCATTGCTTCCGATAACATAAAAAGCCAAAATTAGACTGGCTTTTGAGAAAAACTATATGTACTCCCAAAATACCTGAGCAGAAAACAAATTTTTGTTCTATCTTATGAAAGAATGTTACCACGACGACAGCTGCAAAAAGTAGTCATGGGAGGCACAAGATGTGCAAGTTGCATGAAGGCATCAGTGGGCTCAAGAGGAGGCATTACTGAAAAAACACTGCAGTTTTGTTCAATATGCCATACTGATAGCAATGTATTAGACAGCTACATGTACAGTCAAACCCACACATATATTAAACTTGAAATAAAAAATGGGGGGGGGGGGGGGGGGGGATCAGTGAGATATATGATACAGTAATTCTATATAATCCTTTGAGAAAATTTACCATATTGTTGGTGTGAATTTCAGTGAGCAAGTCAGCTTCAAGACACTGCATCACGATAATGCAAGAAAGGCAGCATCTTGATGCCAGATGAAGATTTTTTTTTTCAGTTTTTAAATTTCCATTATTTGTAGTTGAGGGTGCGAGTTTTATACAGCAGTTTATGTGCAAGGATGTAAGGCATATCATTTTAAACAGTGCCCCACAATCTTGTGAGCAGCTAACATACTTGTCGGGTGCCAAAGGACCCTAGTCCGCCTTGGCCTTGTCATCAGCCCCGTTTTCAATACCCTATTTAGAATGCTTCTGGGGAAGCAGCATACAGCAGTGACATCAAACTTTTTTCTCCACATTCAATCAAGTTGATTATTGCCAGCTTTACAGAGCACAACAGGTTATGCTGTTGCACAGCAACCATCGTGGAACTTCACTTCAATTTAGTCAGGTTCGACTGCAGTGAGGTTCATAGCTGAAGTAAAGATTCATTTATTAAATAAATTTACAAATGTGCTATTACACGCACATTAGGCAAACTAACACATTTTATACAATTACTGCAAACACTTTCAGTGAAAGCATTATAAATAGTAAAGGCAGGAGCAATCAAATAAGTACTTCAAATTGACTTTGTGTCCACGACAAATAACTTGCAGTAAAAGGCCTGTTGTGTTACTATGCACTGAGCTGCACAGTAAGCTAACGCATTAATAACAACGTAAAAAGCGCAATGATATGGGACAACAGATAAGGAGATGAACTGATGCACTGTTGAAAATAGAAGATGAAGACGGTCTCACACTGCATGCCTACAATCCACATTAGGAGAGTGGCTTAAAGATGAAAACGAAGGCAGCCATGCTGTTGGTCTTTATAGGCACAATGGGCACCAGTGTTTCTTTTCCCTTCTGTGGCCCTGTTTCATTGCACTATTTAGGATTATACTTAATGTCAAAAACTGACTCGACAACCTGCGACTGTTTTAAAGCTAGCACATCAGCAAGTATGCTAGTTAGGAGGGATGTGCTCCCCCTTCTCTCGTGCCCATAGCGTGCATACAGGAAGAAAGCATGCATCAAGCCAAGCCATAATCCTTCTAGTCTCACACTCACGCTTTCCCTCGCACCCACAGACTAGCTCATAAGGTTCTCATTGCACTTGGATTTCATACGAAAAATCATGGAAACAGTGTAATTAATTTGTGTTTGGAGGGTTAGAAGGAAGACAGCCGCTCAAAGCCAGAAATTTGGAGGAGGCTGGAAAACTGGTTTTATGCTATGAATGAATAGTGGTGCAGAGTCGGATATGGCATCTCCTGTTTTTCAAAATCTATTAATGTTATTTCACATTATTTTCTCTCTCCATGGAGATACCAGATTTAATTATAACTAATAATGCAACCTGGTAGCATTATAAAAGCACTTTTTTCACTGCAGAATACGTACAAAAGTTGACAGTGCAGTGGCTGTTCATATTTACATTCGATATACTATCTGTTAAATCTGGTACCAAAAATGGATTTAACTGTAGCCACAAAACAAAATTAGAGACTCAAAGTACACATTATTGAATTTTAGTATTTTACTTTTTTATAGATCATAGTTTAACTTTTTTGGCATTAAAAGTCTCAGCTTCATGTGAAGACAGCATGACCACATCTTATCAGTGTTAAACTACAGCTACACTTATATCTTGGTCTGCTTTTCCCTTATCACTGTATTCAACCTATATCAGTCGAGTCGATTTGGTAGCTCCATCTTGTGAAAACAAACACATTCATTTTCCTGAATAAACTTTCACTTACAGCTGAACGATAAGGACATATTATAATGCTGCGTGCAAGGAAATGCTCTTTGTAAGTCCACTGACCTTGCAAACATCGCTTTACTTATGCACTTTATTTTTTTTTACCAGAAACAGATTTGATTAGAAAATGACCTGTAAGACATTGCATCACTTCAGCTGGATTATCTGAAGATGTGGACATTAAGACATTACTTACCCAATAATAGTGTAATATTAACTAGGAAACAAAGTTTCATAAATAACTTCTTAATTATGCATTTCAGGACACATGTCACAACCAATACTCATCTATTTTGTGAGTATTACAACTTGGATACTGGCATAAATTACACATATCAAGCTTTCAATATCCATTGTATGGACTCGTATAACGGCATTGCACTAAACACTAGTCTAGTAAGTAACATGTTCAAGCTTAGTGGCAAATTGTAGGGATTTACTGATACTCCAGTTAAAAATTATTAGTACTATAAAATCACATGCTGATAGTAAATGTGAAGTGAATCATCAGTGTACTTCTTGTTCTCCACTGTAGGCACAGTGTTTGCAAGGAATTATGGCATGCCTTTACAAACTTTACACATACAAGAGCGATGTGTTTTGAAATAGGAAAAGAGTGCAAAAGGACAGCTCATAGAATGAAGTGCACACCACAAGTACTGCATGTATGCTTCTTAGTTCTGTTACTTCTGTTATTTACCTTGTAAACTAGCTTTTAGCGCTGCTTTCCCATTCACAAGCATGTGTAACCAACGAAATTAATATACCATAGTTCTCAAAAACAGCATCATTCAAATACATTCTTGTCAAGTATAACAGTAAGCAAACAATCTATTTTCATTGCATATGATTTCAGTACAATATATACATTTGTGAATAAGTCACTCTGTAGTTTCACTTATAATGCCATGCCTTTTCACAAACAAAAGCTAAAACACAGGTCCTGCTTGCACAACATCCAGCCACCACTCATTCTCACTGAGGTGATGATTAAGCAAACAATCTATTTTCATCGCATATGATTTCAGTACAATATATACATTTGTGAATAAGTCACTCTGTAGTTTCACTTATAATGCCATGCCTTTTCACAAACAAAAGCTAAAACACAGGTCCTGCTTGCACAACATCCAGCCACCACTCATTCTCACTGAGGTGATGAAACTTATATAAAGGAAAGCACATAATTAAACTGTATACTAGCAATAAAATTGGCAACTTACTTTTCTCAATCCCCTATCATCTATAATTGAAAACTTTACCATTTTAAGTTTTCCAATTATTATTATTATTATTATTATTATTATTATTATTATTATTATTATTATAGGGCTTTCTGACAGCACCTATGACCCACCCGAGCTACTTCAGCGCCATGAAAAGATGCACATTATTATACATTACTTCAAGCATGTCCAATAGACAAAAAAGAACCATAATTCAGGCAAAATCATTCACTCTAAGCAGCTAAAAAGCAGCAAATAAAAAGCAATAGCCAACAAAGCCAAGTAGTACCTTCACCCAGTCCTGCGACCGTCATGGCTGCTTCCCCTCGGGTTGGAGATGGTGCATCCAGGTCATCCTGGCTGAGTGCCCGCCCCAACTTCAGCAACACTTTTTCCTTGGACTCAGGGTCACGAGGTGATAGAGGTGGGCCTCCAGTTGTCATCATAGATCTATATTCTGGAATGATCGCAGCCTCAGGAACTAAGCCAGCAGGAGGATATGGAGCCACCCCTGATGACTGCTCAGGGAAAAGTTGTGCCAAAAGCTCTGCTTCTTCGGGTGTAACTTCTCTTTTGGCTCCATAGCCTCCTTCTGCAGTAAGAACATCCTTGAGCCGATCGTCCACTTTAGGCTTTCCTATGTCACCAAACATCTTGTCAAGAACATCAGCTGAGAGTTCTGGCTTCGATGAACTTGATGTTGTGGCTGACGTCACAACTGATGTAGTACATAGAATCGTTTCAGGTCCAGAAATCTCTCTTCTAAGAATGGCTGTCTTTGCCTCCGTAGGCTTTCCAGCTGCACTTTCTACAAAGTGCATGGAGCCTGAAGTGCTTGAGGGCAGGCGCTCTGTGGCAGTAGTTTCTTTCCCTGGTGAAGAACTAGAGCGCTTTGTAATTGACACAACTTCAACAGAACCATCTGAAAGTTTTTTTACTTCTCGTTTTGTCAAAGCTGATGGATCGTCACTGGATAAGCCTCTTGCAAATTCACCCATCTTTGCAAATAAGCTGCTTGCTGTACTTCCAAGTTCTTCTGCCCCTTGCTCAATGTGCTCCGTGACTTGCTGAATACCATCAGATGTTGTCGTCACTAGTCGCCTAATAATGGTTGGTTTACCATCAACAACGGTAGTTTCAATCCTTCGAGAAACAGTTGCATCTGACCCATCTCCAGGAAAGTCAGAGACCAAGGGTGCATCCCCAACTTCCCTTCTGATGACCTGCACCACTTCAACATGGCCTTCTGGAGTCTCTTTCACTTCGCGCTTGACTACAGCTGATGGATCTTTGGCTAGCTCTGCTTCCCATGGAATGGCTGGATCCACCATTCTTCTACTTGATTCACTGGAATGCTTGTCTTCAGGAAGTTTACCAACAACATGCTTTGTAACTCTGACGACTTCAACAACTCCACCAGGTACTTCTTTTATCTCTCGTGTCATATGAGCTGGTGAAAATCCTTCTATGTTACTAGCCACAGTTTTGGGTGATGCTGGCTGTAATATTTTTGTGCCATCTTGCTCCAGACGCTTGCCTTCAGGCGCTTTGGCAACATCATGTTTTGTAACTTCAATTACTTCAACAATGCCACCTGGTGTTTCCTTCAACTCTCGTTTTGGTGTTGACGGTGACTCCTCATCCGAACTCTTTGACTTTGAGCCACGTGGAAATATCTTCTTGGGAATCTTCGATACTTTTGACAGGAGACCAGGGCTTGATGGCTTTGAAACTTCGTGAGTGGTCACTTCGATGACTTCAACAACCCCACCAGGGGTTTCCTTTGTTTCCCGTCTTTCCATAGTGGGCCGCTCGATTCCTGGCAGCACAATGTCAGCACCTTGAGTAGACCCATCAGGAACGTGCTCCCCAACTGCAATAAATATTTCCGGTTCTTCAACCCGCTCCCCTGCAGCCTGACTTATGCTTTTTGACAATGCTGTTGGTTCATTTGTGTTTCCACTTTGTGGCGGTGCTCGCATAGGGAGTTTTGACTTTGTCTGAAGGAAGGCATTATCATGTGGTCTCCCAACACCATCTGCAGTGACCTGAAAAATGTCTAAATGACATTCAGGTGTTGCTGTGACCTTCCTTCTTGCACCCTCTGTTTGTGATTCAATATGCAGCCTTTGCTCATGATGATCATGATACAGGGTCTTTAGTGCAGCATCTTCTTTGCTCAAGTTTTTTGGCACCTTCTGTATTTCATGCTTTTTCACATGCATATTATCAGTTAATGCTGCTAGTTCCCCCTCAAGAACACCAGCTCTGCCATCAAAAGGAAACAATTCTGAAATTTTCTCGCCACCAAGGCAAACCACGCCCTCTGGAATTTTGATAACACTGTGGGCCGTAACCTCCACAACTTTCAGAAAGTCATCAGGAGTCTTAAATTCATATTCTTTGAGTCCCAGTAGTGATTTGTTACTCTGTTTACATTCCTTAGTATCTTGAACCCCCTCTGGCTCCTTATCAAAAGACTCTTTTTGCACTATTGGGAGCTTTAGTCCTCCTGTACATATGCTAGTTGTATTGGATGGCATAAAATGTGCATCAGAGAGATTTCGTTTATCATGACATGATTTTCTAGAAAAAGTATTAATTTTATCAAAAGATGCAAAATTAAGAGATGTTATGACTTCTTTAGAATCATTTTCTTCTACAGTGCACTTTTCAGATATTTTTTGACAGTCAATTCCCTCTTCCCTCAACCCAAGTTGTTCATGCAAGTTACTGCTACGGGAAGGCACCAAAAAATTAACCTTACTAGCCCCACTAGACTTTTTAGGTTCCTGTATGCCGGTGGTTCCAGGAAGTTTATTACCATTGCCAGCCGAAGCAGGTAATGGCTCTCCAATTGAAATGCTACTATTTGAACCACAAGAAAACATTTTTTTTTGCATCTCAGTTTTTTTAGGCATGAAGCCTTCATCATGCTGTTTGCTATGTTTTACACTTATTTCGGCTACAATGTTAGTGTACTCTGAGAAATCCACCTTACCAGGTATTACACCAGAGTGAGCTCCAGATTTTGCGTGACTTCGCACACTGTCAATAAAATATTCTTCTGAATAAGGCATATAAACATAATTACATTTACCAGTTCCTGGTGATTTTGATAATGTACTACCTTTACAAATGTGTGAAAACTGGGTTTCTGAAGCCTGCAAGTTTTCGAATAAAAGTTTTTCATCTGACCTTTCTCCAAACTCTGAACCCGTTTGGGTAGCCTCATTACATTGCCCACTAATGTTTTCTTTTGTAAGGGGCACAACAAGCTTCTCTGGAACGGTTACAGTGACTTTACCCTGCATGTTCATATCAGGCTCATTAGTATTATTGCCATCCATTTTCAACAACTCTTCATTCCTTACAGTTCCTTCAGAACCTTGCATAGATACTTTTTGTTGATGTATGTCAACTGGCACCTTATATTTTTCTGCTAAACTACTGGAGATATCAACATCAAATGCCAAGCTGTTAACATTATCTTTTTTTTTTTCATCAGCATCTATATTAGGCCCGATGATATGGTCACGTACAATAATGCGTGACTGTCCTTCACTTGAAATAGCGGACTTAGGACTACGAGCGAACATCCTCTTCGGCAACTTGGTCATTTTTGACATAAAACCTTTTCCTGAATGCTTACCTAGCTTTGGGGTGCTTATTTCAATTCCTCCTTTGCTCCCTTCTGGCAGCTTCACAGTGCCTTCCTTTTCATATACTGAAATACTGACATCTGCTTCTGGCTTTTTGGTGGTCTTTAAATGGGTATGCAGCTCCACTCCCACCTCAGGCATCTTGATCTCAATAGCCTCAGCTACTGTTGTATGCTCATCGGTTGAACCACTATCTTTAGAACCATGGTGGAACATTTTTTTGGGAAACTTGGCCATTTTTGACATGAAACCTTTGTCAGATGCTTTCCCAATTTCTGGAACATCCACTTCCGACTTTCCTGCAACACCTTCTAAAGTGACGGCAGGAACTTCAATATCTGTGCTTGCTTCTCGTTTTGTTGGAAGCTTGGCTTCTATCTTCAGGGTTCCTTCAGGTTGAGGAATGTCAACATGAGCACTTTCAGCAGTTACTATAGGCTCTTCAAAGAAAGTCCCAGCCTTTTTGCCATGAGGGAGCAGCTTTTTAGGCAGCTTAGAGATTTTTGAAACAAAGCCTGTATCTGATGACTTGCCAACTTCTGGTGTTGTTGCTTCAACTTTCCCTTCAATGCCACCAGCCAAGTCCAAAGTAACTTCACTCTCAGGCAACAAAATGCCTCCTTCTGCTACAGGCTGTTCATCTTTCAAATGTAACTTTACGTGAGTGTCCGGTAACTCAGCCTGAACATCCCTGACAAGTTCTAGGGAACTTTCAAGAGAAACTTCTCCCTTGGAGCTGTGAGGAAACACCTTTTTAGGAATTTTAGCCATCTTTGACATGAACCTACCATCCTCCGCAACAGCTATTTCAGAATCCCCTCCAATACCCCCGGTTAAATCCATAGTGACCTTCCTCCCTCTCAAAACATCACCTTCAGTATTTACAAAACCCTCAACATCCACTCCCAAATCAGCTTCAGGTACTTTTACTGGAACATGCTCAACCAATCCAGAGGAGCTTTCAACGAAATCCTTTCTCTTAGGGCTATGCAAAAGCATTTTTGAAGAAACATTGTCTATCTTCATCATAGATCCACTGCCAGCTGGCTTCCCAAGTTCTGGAGTTGTTATTCCGAGTTTTCCTTCAATACCCTCAGGTACACCTGCAGACACTTCCGGTAATGAAACATCCACGTCTACCTCAGGTCTTTCATGATCTTTCAAATGCACCTTTGGGCGAGTTTCAGGCAATTTCACCGGAACACTGCTACCAACTTCTGGTGGTTTTTCAAAAGATATGCTTCCTTTGGAGCTATGAGAAAACATTTTTTGGGGAAGTTTGACCATCCTCGACATAAATCCTTTATCAGATTGCTTACCTATTTCTGGAGCAGACATTTCAACTTTTCCCTCAACACTTTCTGGCAAATCAACATCCACTGTTTCATCAGAAATTCCTATGCCAGCTTCCAGTCCTGACTTTTCAATACCTGTCACATCTATCTTCAGGTGACCCTCAGGCACTTTTACATCAACCTCACCAACTCCTGGTACACCTTCGATAAAAATACTACCTTCCTTTGAGCCATGAGGAAACATTTTCTTGGGAAATTTGGCCATCTTTGACATAAATCCACCTTCAGATGGCTTACCTATGCCTGGACTTGATATTTCAACTTTCCCTTCAATGCCTTTTGGGAAATCAGCACTCACTGTCTTATCAGGAATTCCAATGTCACTTTCAGCTTCAAGCCTAGGCATTTCAGCCCCTTTTACACCAATTTTCAGATGAGCTTCAGGAATTTTCGCATCAACATTCCCAACCTCTGGTGCCCCAACAGAGATACTACCTTCCTTTGAGCCATGAGGAAACATTTTCTTGGGAAGTTTTGCCATCTTTGCCATGAAGCTGCCATCCGATGGTTCACCTATTTCTGGACCCGATATTTCAACCTTTCCCTCAATACCTTCAGGCAAATCAATACCCACTCTTTTGTCTGGCATTGCAATGTCAGCTTCAAGGACTGGTTTTTCAATACCTGTCACGTCCATCTTTAGGTGACCCTCAGGCAATTTTAGATCAACATCCCCACCCTCTGGTGCCCCAATAGAGACACTACCTTCCTTTGAGCCATGAGGAAACATTTTCTTGGGAAGTTTGGCCATTTTTGACATAAAGCCGCGATCCGATGGTTTACCTATTTCTGGACCCGATATTTCAACCTTTCCCTCAATACCTTCAGGCAAATCAATGCCCACTTTTTTGTCTGGCATTGCAATGTCAGCATCAAGTCCTGCCTTTTCAATACCTGTCACATCCATTTGCAGGTGAGCTTCAGGCATTTCAGCATCAAAATCAACATCTGGTGCCCCAATAGAGACACTACCTTCTTTTGAGCCATGAGAAAACATTTTTTGGGGAAGTTTGGCCATCTTTGACATTAAGCCGCGATCTGATGGTTTGCCTATTTCTGGACCCGATATTTCAAACTTTCCCTCAATACCTTCAGGCAAACCAATGCCCACTCTTTTGTCTGGCATTGCAATGTCAGCTTCAAGGACTGGTTTTTCAATACCTGTCACGTCCATCTTTAAGTGACCCTCAGGCAATTTTAGATCAACTTCCCCAACATCTGGTGCCCCAATAGAGACACTACCTTCCTTTGAGGCATGAGGAAACATTTTCTTGGGAAGTTTGGCCATCTTTGACATTAAGCCGCGATCCGATGGTTTACCTATTTCTGGACTCGATATTTCAACCTTTCCCTCAATACCTTCAGGCAAATCAATGCCCACTCTTTTGTCTGGCATTGCAATGTCAGCTTCAAGGACTGGTTTTTCAATACCTGTCACGTCCATGTTTAGGTGACCCTCAGGCAATTTTAGATCATCATCCCCAATATCTGGTGCCCCAATAGAGACACTACCTTCCTTTGAGCCATGAGGAAACATTTTCTTGGGAAGTTTGGCCATCTTTGACATAAAGCCACGATCCGATGGTTTACCTATTTCTGGACCTGATATTTCAACCTTTCCCTCAATACCTTCAGGCAAATCAATGCCCACTCTTTTGTCTGGCGTTGCAATGTCAGCTTCAAGGACTGGTTTTTCAATACCTGTCACGTCCATCTTTAGGTGACCCTCAGGCAATTTTAGATCAACATCCCCACCCTCTGGTGCCCCAATAGAGACACTACCTTCCTTTGAGCCATGAGGAAACATTTTCTTGGGAAGTTTGGCCATCTTTGACATAAAGCCGCGATCCGATGGTTTACCTATTTCTGGACCCGATATTTCAACCTTTCGCTCAATACGTTCAGGCAAATCAATGCCCACTCTTTTGTCTGGCATTGAAATGTCAGCTTCAAGGACTGGTTTTTCAATACCTGTCACGTCCATCTTTAGGTGAGCCTCAGGCAATTTTAGATCAACATCCCCAATATCTGGTGCCCCAATAGAGACACTACCTTCCTTTGAGCCATGAGGAAACATTTTCTTGGGAAGTTTGGCCACTTTTGACATAAAGCTGCGATCCGATGGTTTACCTATTTCTGGACCCGATATTTCAATCTTTCCTTCAATGCCTTCAGGCAAATCAATGCCCACTCTTTTGTCTGGCATTGCAATGCCTGCTTCAAGGTCTGGTTTTTCAATACCTGTAACGTTCATCTTTAGGTGACCCTCAGGCATTTTTAGATCAACATCCCCACCCTCTGGTGCCCCAATAGAGACACTACCTTCCTTTGAGCCATGAGGAAACATTTTCTTGGGAAGTGTGGCCATCTTTGACATTAAGCCGCGATCCGATCGTTTACCTATTTCTGGAGTGTCTACCTCAATTTTCGTTTCTCTGCCTTCTGGCAAATCAAGAGACACTTTTGCATCAGGAAATGCAATCACAGCTTCAACTTCTGGTTTTTTGGGACCTTGCACATCCATCTTAATATGAGGCTCAGGCATCCTTACCTGAACATCACCAATGCCTTCTGGTGTCCCCTCAACAGAAACACTTCCCTTTGTACCATGAGGAAATAATTTTTTAGGGAACTTAACCATCTTTGACATAAATCCTCCGTCTGATGGTCTGCCAATTTCAGGAGTGGACACCTCAACTTTACCATCAACACCTCCTGAAAAGTCAACAGCCATTTCTTTACCAGGAAGTTCAATTTCAGCTTCTAACTCTGGTCTTTCAGGCCCTTTTATGTTTACGTTAAGCTGAGCTTCAGGAACCTTTATCTGAGCTCCAGTAATTGCTTCTGGTGCTTCGATTGAAACACTTCCTTTACCGTGCGGTAGAATTTGCTTGGGGAGCTTGCCCATCTTTGACATGAAGCCTCCATCTGGTGCCTTGCCGACTTCTGGAGTAGATAGTTCGACTTTGCCTTCCATGCCATCTGGCACGCCAACAGTCCCTTTTTTATCAAGCAGTGCAGTCTCAGTTTCTAGTTCTGGTTTTTCAAAAGCTTCTGCGTCTGCCTTAACGTGAACCGCAGGCATCTTCACATGAATTTCGCCAACACTTTCAGGTGTCCCTTCAACAGAAACACTTCCTTTTGGGCCATGGGAAAACATTTTTTTAGGAAGCTTGGCCATTTTCGACATAAATCCTCCATCTGATGGCCTGCCAATTTCAGGGGTGGATACCTCCACTTTTCCTTCAAGTGTTTCTGGTGAACCAACAGCCACAGTCTTACCTGTTAGTAAAATGTCACCCTCCACTTCAGATCTTTCGGGAGCTTTTACATCCATTTTTAGGTGAGTTTCAGGCATCTTCACCTGAACATCAACTTCAGGTGCATCTTCAATAGAAACACTGCCCTTAGAGCCATGGGGAAACATTTTCTTTGGAAATCTTGCCATCTTTGACATAAAACCACTATCTGATGGCTTACCAACTTCTGGTGTTGAAATCTCAACCTTTCCTTCGACGCCTTCTGGTAGGTGAACATCCACTTTCTTAGCGGGCTGTGTAATATCACCTAGTTCAGGCTTTTCAGGACCTTTCACGCCCATCTTAATATGAGCTTCAGGCATCTTTGCCTGAACTCACCAATGCCTTCTGGTGTCCCCTCAACAGAAACACTTCCCTTTGTACCATGAGGAAATAATTTTTTAGGGAACTTAACCATCTTTGACATAAATCCTCCGTCTGATGGTCTGCCAATTTCAGGAGTGGACACCTCAACTTTACCATCAACACCTCCTGAAAAGTCAACAGCCATTTCTTTACCAGGAAGTTCAATTTCAGCTTCTAACTCTGGTCTTTCAGGCCCTTTTATGTTTACGTTAAGCTGAGCTTCAGGAACCTTTATCTGAGCTCCAGTAATTGCTTCTGGTGCTTCGATTGAAACACTTCCTTTACCGTGCGGTAGAATTTGCTTGGGGAGCTTGCCCATCTTTGACATGAAGCCTCCATCTGGTGCCTTGCCGACTTCTGGAGTAGATAGTTCGACTTTGCCTTCCATGCCATCTGGCACGCCAACAGTCCCTTTTTTATCAAGCAGTGCAGTCTCAGTTTCTAGTTCTGGTTTTTCAAAAGCTTCTGCGTCTGCCTTAACGTGAACCGCAGGCATCTTCACATGAATTTCGCCAACACTTTCAGGTGTCCCTTCAACAGAAACACTTCCTTTTGGGCCATGGGAAAACATTTTTTTAGGAAGCTTGGCCATTTTCGACATAAATCCTCCATCTGATGGCCTGCCAATTTCAGGGGTGGATACCTCCACTTTTCCTTCAAGTGTTTCTGGTGAACCAACAGCCACAGTCTTACCTGTTAGTAAAATGTCACCCTCCACTTCAGATCTTTCGGGAGCTTTTACATCCATTTTTAGGTGAGTTTCAGGCATCTTCACCTGAACATCAACTTCAGGTGCATCTTCAATAGAAACACTGCCCTTAGAGCCATGGGGAAACATTTTCTTTGGAAATCTTGCCATCTTTGACATAAAACCACTATCTGATGGCTTACCAACTTCTGGTGTTGAAATCTCAACCTTTCCTTCGACGCCTTCTGGTAGGTGAACATCCACTTTCTTAGCGGGCTGTGTAATATCACCTAGTTCAGGCTTTTCAGGACCTTTCACGCCCATCTTAATATGAGCTTCAGGCATCTTTGCCTGAACACCACCAATGCCTTCTGGTGTCCCTTCAACAGAAACACTTCCTTTTGAACCATGGGGAAACATTTTCTTTGGAAGCTTGGCCATTTTTGACATAAATCCTTTATCTGAAAGTTTGCCAACTTCTGGGACTGACATTTCAACTTTTGCTTCCATGCCTTCTGGCAAGTCAGGAACTTTTTGTTCAGGCAGATTAACATCACTTTCTATCGTCGGTTTTTCATAACCTTTGACATCCATCTTTAGATGAATCTCAGGTGCCTTTGCTTGAATATCCCCAATTTCTGGTGTCCCTTCAACAGAACCTTTTGAGCCATGAGGAAACATTTTCTTTGGAAACTTGGCCACCTTTGACATAAAACCTTTTTCAGATGGTTTTCCCATTTCTGGAGTCGGTAACTGAACTTTTCCTTCAATGCCTTCCGGTATGTCTGCGGCCATTTCCAAATCAGGCAGTCCTATAACAGCCTCTACTTCAGGCTTTTCAGGACTTTTCACATCCATCTTTAGGTGAGCTTCAGGCATTTTCACCTGAGCATCAAGACCTTCTACTACACCTTCAACAGAAACACCTGCCTTGGTGCCATGAGGAAATATTTTAGGGGAAATCTTGCCCATCTTTGACATGAAGCTTTCATCAGACATTTTGCCAATTCCTGGAGTCGACAGTGCAACTTTTCCTTCTGCACCTTCCGAAAAGTCCATAGCCACTTCTTTATCAGGAAGTCCAATGTCAGCTCCTAATTCTGTTCTTTCAGAACCTTTTACACCCACCTTAAGCTGAGCTCCAGGAGTCTTCATCTGAGCTTCACTAATGGCATCTGAGGCTTCAATTGAAACACTTCCTTTAGAACCATGAGGAAAAATTTTCTTGGGTAATTTAGCCATCTTTGCCATAAAGCCTCCATCTGATGGCTTAGGGACACCAGGGTGTGATATTTCTACCCTCCCTCCAACACCCTCCGGTATCTCCACAGAAACTCCCTTCCCAGGCTGTGCATCAAAATCTAATTGAGGCTCATCTGGAATGTTTGCCTTTATGCCCAGGTTACCGCCTACCTTTGGAATATTAACATGAACATCCAGAGGTTCTGCTGATTTGCCCAGCTTGTCCAAGCTTGCATCAATATGTGCTTCAGGTATGTCAGGTAGATCTGCTGTCTGTTTCTTTGTGGGCAATGTGATATCAACTGTTGTTTGAGGCACTTTGATGCCTTTACCGCTTGTTTCTATCTGTAGTTCTGGCTGCAAAAACTCAATGCCAACGCCTTTCATAGCAACTGATGGTCTTTCTACTGAAATACCATCCTTAGAATCATGTGAAAAAATTTTCCTGGGTAGCCTAGTCACCTTTGAGATGAAGCCTTCCTCAGATGACATAGACGGGTCTTGAGCACTCAGCTCAATGCTCCCCTCTACACCTTCCGGTATGCTCGCAGAAAGTTCTTTTGGTAATGTGTCAGATACGATCATCTCACTGTCTGTGTCTAGTGTAAGTTGTGTTTCAGGAACAGAAGCATGAATACTTTCAGCTGACATCTCTTCCACTGAAACATCCCCTTTCAAACTATGAGGAAACATTTTTTTAGGAATTTTAGCCATTTTTGTCATGAAACCACTCTTTGTCAGTTTGCCATGCCCTGGGGTACTGGTCTCAATAGTGCCCTCTCCTTTATCAGGCCATTCCAGAGTAGTTTCCTTTGAAGTAAGCGAAAGCTCGACATCTGAGCTGATATCTGGATGCTTTGCATCAACAGTAAAATCCAGTTCTTTTGGCAGTGACTTGATCCCGCTAATATCAATGCCTGCCACAGCCTCTTCAACAGAACCAGCCACATCAACACCAGAAGGAACGGGCATATTAATGCTTTTACTCTTTTTCTTTATTTCAATGTCCGGTAATTCTGGTTTACCTATCTTTTTAGTACCAATATCCACCCCAGAGGGCAATGACGAATGACTGCTAATATCTACATCAATGGAAGCTGGCAATGTTTGAGTATCAGCCTGTTTGATCTTAATGCCCTTTTCTTTTTTCTTGAGTGTAGCATCTACTTTTGGCTCTTTTTTTGCTTTTTGTTTTGATAAAGAAATACTTTCACTTGCTGAGGAAGGTTCATCTTCGGATGAACTGGTTTTTGAACTACGAGGAAACATTTTCTTTGGAAGTTTGGACATTCTTGCAAAGAATTTACCATCTGATTCTTTAATTATGTCACCTGTACTTGTTTCTAAGTCTTCTCCATCCTTTGCTAGTGCATCTTTTGACCTTTTTGAAGTAAATTTAGATGTGTCTACTTCTACATCCACACTCTTTATTTCATGTATGGGTTTCTTTGAAGGCTTTTCACTGGCTTTCGGCAAAGTGGCAGACTTTGGAAACTTTCCGGACTTCTTTTTCGAAATAGGACTGCTTTCAGAAATTGACGATGGCTCTTCATCTGAAGCACTAGCTTTACCACTGCGTGGAAACATTTTCTTGGGGAGTTTAGCCATTTTTGAAAGGAATCCAGTATCTTGTGATTTGCCATCAGAGACAGAAAGCTCGACATCTTTGTCAACAGCTTCTGTAACTTCTTTTAGGTCTTTCTTTTTCTGCTTCAGTGGACTTGTTTCTTTTTGTTCTTTATGCTTCTTTTCAGCATCACTTGTGTCACTTGACATATCTTTCAGGCTCGTAGCCATATCAGGAATCTCAACTTCAGAACTAGGAAGCCTCTGTTTATCTTTACCTGCAAAGCTGCCTGTTCCCTCTGGACTTTTACTGCTTCTTTGTCGCTTAATATGGACTATTTCAACAATTTTCCCAGGAGTATCCTTTACAACTTTTTCCACTTTCTCTACAAGGCTACCTTCAGAACTTTTTTGTACTCGCTTTTCCTGTTCTTCTGTTGAAAAATCTGCTCCAAGTGACCCATTTTTACCAGCTCTGGTTAGGTCAGGAGACAAGGAACGCTCCTTGCTCTTTCTTTTGAAAGAGAATGTTTTTACAATATCTTTTCTTGGTGTCATATCTTCCTCAGGCAATGTACTTCGAGAATAACCTGCTGTAGCTCCACTGTCCGACGGGGTGTACATATCCCTCAATCTGGGCAAAGTGTAATCAGGGCCTGGAGGACTTGGGCTCTTTTCTTTTTTATCTTTCTTATCCTTCTTCTTTTCTTTTTTTAGCTTGCCATCAGTAGCTGGCTCTTTGGAGGCATCTGCAGCCTCTCTGATGCTTGAGACAGTCATGGCATCAGTGGTACTGGTGAAGTCCCTTTCAGGTGTGATACTGTCCCTTATCCTAGGCAGGCTGTAGTCAGGCCCTTGGGGTTTGGGGCTCTTCTCTCTCTTGCTTTTCTTCCTTAGGTCTCGAGGAGGAGCTGTCGGGCCTGTCTCAACAGCTGCATGTTGAGTGACCTCTGCAGAATCAGTCTTCAAGACAGGCTCTTCTTCGAAAGTCTCTTCGACAGCCATCCGGGGAGCTGCCTTCTCCTTCGAACTTCCTCGCACAATGCGACCAATTGCCGCTGATATTGGAGATCCTTTGCTGTCTCCTGGAACGGCCTTGCTGGTTCCTGTCCCCATAGACATTTTATTAAAAAGTCATCCCCAGCCACAAGTTGATCGGCTTAATTGAAGCAATAGCAATGTGCCATTAAATGCATTTAGAAGTACAAAACTTCATATCCACTATAGTCAAGCAACAAGTACAAGGCAAACTACATAATTCATACATCCTGCTAAAAACACCTAATATTTCTTGCACTTTTAAACACAATTTACTGACTGCTATGAATCTAAGGATCTTCCCCTCCATCAAAACCAAGACTCTGTCCTATTTATACTAAGTGCATGATAAAAATATAGTATGAAGGCAAGTTTTGTTATGAGAGATGCTTTTAGATTTAGAGATAAAATTATTATAGTTGAATTATTGAAAGACATATTGCAGTGCAAAAAGGCAACCACACAGAATATAAACAAGTACATGTAAATATGCTGTGCAGTTGTTCCCTTGCACTGCGCTGAGGCCCTTAGGAAGCATTAACTAGCCCAGCGACAACTCAATTTGCAAAAATTTTTGTTTACATGGTAGCAACCATAAACAAGACTTATGCTGTGACAGGCTTGTAATGCCTCCATACATTTCACCAAAAGTCAGAAATTTAAGATCCTTACACATCACATCCTTTTAGTGGCTCTAAGATAAAACACAGCTGGTGCTATGTACGTTGCTCATGTCTCATAATAGTCTGTACTGTTCATTCACGCAAGATAATGCCTTTTGATACCGCATACTCACAGCCACTAGCCACTAAATCACCCAGATATGTTATTACTATCAAACTGGTAATGCAACAGAGTGTAATAGTTGAACTTAATCTCTGAATTTCTTACCTAAATGCCATTTAAGTATGGCAGTATCAAATCTGAGTAAAGTGAAATTTTCTATCCTATACTGAATGGTACACGTCACTACATAAAACAAATTTTATTTGCGTCTTTGCATGCAGTACTATTGAAATATAAAACTCAACTTTAGCACTGGACATTGGCATATGTGTCCTGAAAAATGTGTAAGTGTAAAAAAAAACAAACCAAATATCAACAAAAACTGCTCCGAAGCACAGCTTGCAATGTGAAAAAACAGCAGCATGCGTGTATAGTAGCAAAGCAAGCAGTGGACCCTTTTGAAAAAAATTTAACAGGCTCACTTACGGCCCGGCTTCTCAATGTAGTCGGAAGAGGGGAAACTGTCAGTCCACTACAGGGGCGAGGTCAGGTGACACACTAGCAGACTTGAAAACATTCCATTCCACTGTCAAATGCTCTTGAAATATAGCCTAGCTTCTATAACTCGTCTTTTCAAGTAATTGTTTAGGTTGTATGGGTTGCGAAATAAGCACTGCAAGATTAGAAGAAAATAGTACGGAAAGAGTTGACGAGCAAACTATAACTACAGTGTTCATGTATCTTGCCCACGTAGCGAAAACTTGATGAAGATCACAGATCGTACACCCCCTTTGTTGGCTACCAATGAGTGATACGTATATTTTTGTTTTGTATGTGTTCAAAACAGTCTGTCGCTATATACTAATGTAGTGTAGAAATAATTCTAACCAAAAATGCAAATGTGAGCCCATACATACTTATCAATTTAGAGAAAATATTGAAGCTTTACTATTAACACAAAGACCTATAACTGCAAAAAGGAATGAAAAATAAATACAATGCACACAAAAGTGAATATAAATGACAAGTAATGCCTTTACGATGATGCCTGAAACAAAAAAGCTGTGAAATGAAAGGTAGTTTTCCAAAAAATATATCAATAGAGTATCACAAGTAGTTTTTAGATAACCACTTAGCAGTACTCATGCTTCCGACTACCAATTATTTTCAAATTACCTACTTTTTCATGTCCAAATATTGTAAAAAAAACTGCAAAAAAGATATCAGTAGGAGGTATTGATCAAGAGCATAAATTAGTTCTAAAAATCATCCTTTCTTTAATGGTATAATGGTATACACACAAAGATAATTGAACATGCTCATATAGCTATTATATGTTAGTTTCACAGTACGTCAACACAACTGGTGCATGCCTCTCTTGATGAGATAAGCAGTAAATGTAAGCTTTGTGCTGGTCTGCCGTTCCCTGCCTCTCACTTACTGTGCAAAATGGCACTCACACAACCATGTTCATGGTCACGAAATTCTTCACAAAAACATTCATTGAAGAAATAAATGCCTGCATCATTAATCAAAAGGCACGCAATATGTGCTTGAATACCTTCATGAATATTTTTCTGCTTACCACAGTGCACTATATTTCAAAAGTGTACATTTTCACCAATACAGAGCATTTTTACAGATGTATTTACGTAGACTGCAGACAATGTGACGTGTGATCATCATATCAGTTATCACTACAACTGCAGTTGTTATGAGGAAGTTTTCATGCACATTATATCAAGGATCTCAATGTCTTTAACAGAGTTAGCAAAGAACACTGTAAATCACTCCAAGAATGAGCCTGCTTCAGTCCGCACACAAAATCTGCATGTACGAGCATGGCACCTGCTGCAACCAAGCTGCAAGCAGCATCAGCAGCCACTACAATACACCATGGGTTCCCAACAATGTTAGCAAGTTAAGAAAAAAAGCAGCCACTAGAAATAAAATTGGCAGCTGCAAGGCTGTGCAGTACTGGCACAAGAGTGAAATTATCACAGAAATACAATGCTAGAGCAAAACAAAAGCATGTGAATTTGCTGCTTATAAAATCTGCTGATAAGATTAATATCTTCAATAAGGTAACATTTCTTAATTTTTTATTTTACTTTATAAGCAGCAGAGTCTGTCATACAGATAAATATCTAATATCATAATATAAATGTGCTATTTCCTTCCAATAAAACTGTATTTCTCAAGAAATGCACATGATATTTCACATCTTGTGCTTAAGTACTATGCACATACTGGTAATGCAGCAATAGCAGTTAACATTTAACATTGTACTGTGCAGATCAATAGTAACACAAGCAGCAAGACCTTCACAAAAAAAAGTACGTTTGGAACTTGTTTGCCAAACATTTTCAAGAAAATACATTCACCACCCATAAGAATGCAGTCTTGCGTCAGGTATCAGTGTTACTATTTAATTAATGACTACAGATCAAGAAGAGCCCTTCTGCTAGTTTTCCAGCTGAAAAAAGAAAACTAAAAAAATAGCAGTTATTTACACTGTAAAAACATCCAAACATTAGAATAATCTGAATTATTAGAATACAAAAAAAAAAAATCAGTTTTTCATACTACCAGAGTTAAGCTATGCAATCAGATTCTACTAGGAAAAAACAAAATATGCCTTGTAAAACGTTTTTGTTAGGAAACACTCAAGTATTGTAGCTCTGGTATGATAAATTAGTACTTGAGCTCAAATAAAGCCATTTATTTAGGAACCATGTTATGACAGCTTAAAAATGCTAATAATCAAATTGCAAGATATCCTAATGAAGGCCTTGCAGTATGGCACATACTCTTCACATTGCCACACAAAAAAAAACATCTGCAAAACAACCACTGAAACACATATATTGAGCAGAACCAAGCAAAAAATTAAACAAAACAACATATTGGTTTTACTTTGAGCACATAAGACTGGCTTGCAATATGCACGGCAAACAGTGTTAGACATGGTGCAGCGTGTCAGTAGCTAGAGCGAGCACATTGAAAGCAGGGCCATAACCCCAGCACAACTGCTGCAAAACATATGCTTGTGGTGGAAAAAAGTAACAAGCAAGCATAGCAATGGCTTGTGAGCAGCTCAAAAACATGTGCATGATGTGATTAAGTGCTGTGACATTTCAGTGTTACCTAATTATTATTTAACTTCTGTCCTTACATAGCAAAAGATGTTTGACTAGAAACAAGAAAGTACAACAATTAGGTCTGCGTGGCACCTATTCCATTATATAAAAATATACCAGCTGCTGCACAAAATTAGACAAGGAGGCACCCAAAGATGACATAGCACTTATCACATACTGCAAATTTCTACTGATCAATTATCATTAATCAAATTATAGCATTTGCTCAAAGCACTCTAACATTTTCTTCATGAACTGCAGGATTAATGTCTTGCCATATAACTGTACCCAGCCATGGCCATCTATTTAACACTTGACCACAAATTTTATATTTACTGTTCAGTATTAGCCGTGTCATATGCTTTATCTAAGAAAAGACATAATAAAGATACCTAACTGCAGTTGTAGTATTATTACGTTTTCTGCCGTTATTAAATACAACATGCCCTTTTTGACCGAAAATTAACTAAGATGGTCTAATTTCATTATTACATTTTCTGATATTTGAAACACAAGGATTAATTCTTAAAGGGACATTAAAGATAATCTCATATATCACTTAACAACTGAGACAACAGCACTTGTAGTCGTTGTATCAGTTCTATTGCATATTGATCATGCTAGAATTAAATTCCTTGAAGAACATGCTCAAGAGGGGCCATTATTTCTTACTCTTTGCAACACATTTGTTGCTTTCTCAAACTTCGAGTGACAGTGCATCTTAAGGGCTCTGCATCACATTTCGCCAGCAAACCTGCTCAGTTGCCTTCCTCCAGCTACCAGTATTTCTTCCTCTTATGTCATTAAAAATGAGCTCCATCAAGTGCTGTGAATCAGACATGTTCACAATAGTTTTATGTCATATGTAGTTTTGCTTGATTTGCAACTCTGCTCGTGAATAACAATTCCTCCCTTTCAAATTTTCGTACAGATCACTGACAGTGTTTGAAGTTTGCCTACACCACTGCAGACAACTAGAAACGTCAACAGTTCTTAACACAAAGGAAACATGCAACAAATTAGAAATTCAGACAGAGAGGTACCACAATTTTGATGCAAAGATGAGCAGAGAGTAAAACCTTTGTTGGCAGTAAAACAAAACATGAAGCACAAAAATAAGTTGACTATTGAGCAATAGTTTGGTAAAATCATTTTAATACATTTCCACAAGTAATAAAAATGTAGTAAAAATGACCTTAACAGATAATGCTTTTCATACCATGCTACGTTAATAGTCCACATGGCCTTCTCATAAGTTTTCTCATTTGATAAATTTTGTAAAAAAAAGAAAAAATAGGTTTCGCAAAGAGGTTACATAAGGGCTTTCATGTTTTATGCCCTAAATGTCATCAAAGTGAAATTAACCTTATTGTCCCTTTAAGAATTTTTTCTTTTTTTCTATAGATACATTAGTTTTCTTATTAAACTCGTTTGACAGATTAAAAAATGTAAAAACAATTCAAACAATTTAAAATCAAGCAAATAAAGCTCATAATGAAAAACCTACTCACCCTTAGCCTCAGAACCTGTGTGCTTCTCATGGACCGATCCAGTCTCGCTACTTGTCTCTTCCGCCGACTCGGCCTCCTTGCACAGAGTGTGAGAAACATGATCCCTGATGAGGCCGCCCGTTACGTTGCTCAGAGCAATTTTACAAAACGCTCAATGAAACCACGCTATAAAAACTCCTTATATACTCATTCGTACAAATTCAAAAACGAACACTGAAAGCAAGGACAATGGTAGCTGTAACACATCCCACACTAGAACAGCGGTCCAGAATGTGGAAAGAACAGCAAGTTAGAAACGACTTTCAATGAAAAAAGTACTACCTACCTTTACAAAATAATATTGACAATGCTTCATATTACCAGAATCATGAATAGTCGGAAGGTTCTTATAGAGCCTCAAGCATGCACAATTTCCCTCTGTGTAAGCCTTCAAGAATGTAAGGCAGAGCATGCACAATGGGCAACTTTAATTTTTATTTTTCTTCCTTTCTTTTTTTTTAGGTTTCTGGGAAACTAGTGATTGTCCTGCCTCTTCTTCTTTATTCTCATGCTAGTTTCACACAGCCACTTTTAGTGTGTATTCTGTAAGTGAATGGGCCATTACAATCATTATAAGGTGATTATAATCCTTATAATAATTATTTCATAAACACAAAACAACATTCAGTATTTCATTCATTTATCAAATTTCAGCAAACAGCAACAAAGGCAGAGCTGCAAGTGATAGGAGAAAAGCTGTTTAAGATAGCTTGAAGAGCCTGGACTGTCCAGAACGCTGAGAGTTAAATTAATATCATAATGGTGCTTCACACAACAGCCTTACATACACAGTGCCAAAGGAGATCAGAAAGATAATAATGTAATAACACTGGATCAAGCACCCTACTCTAGAAAGAAAGAAAAAAAGATAATTTAGAAAAAAAATTCAATGTGTCAGTGGTAATTGAAACAAAGAAGAAAACAGTGGATTTATGTAACAAAAGGCCTCCTCTATCATGCTACTGAATTTTAGCCATCATTTAATCACTCGGCAAGCAGCCATGTTGTTCCTAAAGCATGGGGGTTAGTAAACCTTTTTTCCTTTATTTAGTTAGTCCGATTGTTAGGGATGCTTATGAAGATAACCTAACCAAACAAAAAATTGCGTAACAAGTTTAGCTACAAGACACGTTACCCTGCGAGGTGCATGCTCGTATTCAGTTGAGGGTTTTTTTTTTTTTTTTTGCAAAAAGAGCCAAATGTAGAAACTAAGACTAGGCTAAATTTCATGGGAACATAAAGCACACCTAAGTATCTTCACCTTCTAGAATAGTTCTAATGAAAATTGGGCAAATCCTTATTGTAACATGAACTCAAAAATGCAGTTTCTAATCTAAAATGAGCCAAACACTTCAACTGTTTTAATCAAACTAGTCCCACTCATTAAACTAGTACTGCGCCAACGGTCGTGAGCAAAACAACCAACATGGAGTCACCCAAAATACTATTTCATTTGTGTCATGGATGCTTTGCTTTCGTGTATACCTTCCGCGATCAGAGTTTTTAGGGCGAGTTGGTGCTTACAAAAGGACATAATGGTCAATGACAAAACTCGATTATAAAGAGTAAAAGGCTGACTTTCCTACTTCCTTTTGCCTCTTAGTGATTCTTTTCAAGTTTAGCACTATGGTATCATGTCCTCCCTTCACTTCAACACGGTATATTTGAACTATAATACACAAAAATGAAAATGTTGGGCATCTATCTATTTTATGAAGAAAAAAAAAGTGGTCAAAAATGGCGTCGCATAAAATGAACTAGAACACTTTTCAAGGCTTTCAACAGATGCCAAGAACAAGAACACAGTGATGACAATCCAGAAAAGTGAGCCTTTTGCGAGGAAGGACCACTCGCTCTTCATGTCTAGTAATCGCCATTACGCCCATACGACGAAGCCTGGCACCGACAGCACAAGGATGAAGTCAATTCTATCAGAAAATATTGCTATGCCGTAAACTCAAATCATTTTACTGTTATTTTACGAGCTAATTCATGCCCAAATGATATGTTCTAATCTGTATGAGCCAAATGCAGGCTTTACTCCTCAACACTGACGATATTGGGCTATGTATATTTTAGCCACAATATACATTTGTGGTATTTAGGGGAGAGGAGCATACTGGCAAAAAGTTGGAGCAGGCCCGACCATATTTCAGTAGAAAACAATACTGGGCTCTGTAGATTTTAGCCACAATATACATTTGTGGTATTTAAAGGAGAGGAACATACTGAGAAAAGTTGTTTGAGCAGGCCCGACCATATTGTCAGTAGAAAAAAAGTGTTTTTCTCAGTTTCAGTTAAATTGCATTTGGCTAATTTAGGAAAAAAAATGCCTCAATTATTGTGAAGTCACTGGCTAGAAATTGATCACGTCTTCAAAGGGCAAGATGTGACACTTATAAGAACCACAAGGTATAAGACACAGTGCTGCTTTTGCCCATCTTCTTAATGCAAAGTCTTCTTAACTACTAATTGTTGTATAAATGAAATGGAAAGAGAATCCTTAAACTGTCCTTTTATTGTGGCACCTTCCATAAATATAAAGACAACAGACTCAGTGGTGATGATATGCACAAAAGTGATATGCACAAGTTAATATGAGGAAAGTCATGAACGGCGTTCACAATGCTATGTACTTACATACTTTGTGTATAGATTTCTCATTATCATTCTTCCCTCAACATGAATTATGCATTGCCTTCATCCCTGTGACACCACTATGTCAATTTTTAACACTGTACACGTGCATTTAAAATTTAACACTACTTATAAATAGCATAATAATAAATAGAAAAATTGCATGACATTAAACTTATGACCTCTCTAGTATGGAACCCCTTAAAGGCGTCCTAAAACACTTTTTCAAATAACCATGGAATGGATTCACTGAAAAAGCTTATTGCCTCACAAATTCAACATCGCGAAAATTTTATGAATCTGTCCAGTACAAGCGCAGTTACAAAGAATTGTCGCAGGCTGCAATCGCGTTCTCTCTTCTCTCGTCCTGGGGAAAGCGCTGGAGGCTAAACACAGAGAGTTGGCAGGGGCAAAAGAAGATACGTCACGTGCGCCTCGCGACCTTGAACACTTCTTTTTTTTTTCCTTCGAATACGCGGCTTTTTCCGTGTGATCGCACGCATGAACAAGTCACGACCTCCCGCAGCGATCCCTATAACGACCGAGCACGCCCTGTTCAAATCAGCTAATGGCTGATAGATGGCCTTCGATGCGCGTTTTTTCAGCGTCTTCTATCATTTCTCGAGAGAAGAGAAAGCAATTTTTAGCTGACTTTGATCATTTATTGTGAATTCCAGGTCGCGTGCTGCGCTATATTTGACTCGCGTGTTCTCGGGAGCCTCTACTACGGATTGGCAGCATTTTCTGACCTGCTCAAAGTGTTGCAGGGCTCTTTCAAGGATTTTCTATTACCTCAGCTCGTCACAAGCGATTGGCATTTTTTCAGCCTATGACAAGCTGGTCTAGTCATAAGTAGTTGGCCACTTTTTTAATGATATCTGATGAGCTAAAAATGTCCAAAGGTATTTTTTATTTGGTACTTAGATGGCATAGGTGGTTTTGCTTTCAGCGAATTTGCATAAATAAATGCTTTTGCGCACAAGATGGTAGCAGGTGTTTCATAAAAGCCAAGTTCACTTTCCTCGTGAGATTTTTCACATACTTTCAGATAAGCATGGCATCATCCACCTGATGCTTCAGTGCAATAGTTTGCAATATATCTGATGATGATAATGAAAGTGACCAGGATGTTGATTTTGTGATTCTTCAAGCAAAGAAGACAGTCGTGAGACTTTAGATAACGGAAAGTTAACGAAGGGGGGAAAATTGCTCATCACACTGTTGCCATTCCTATGAATAGCGTTATGTCAGACAAGTTATTGGAATTTTTCACAACATAAAAAAATTCAACCTATATGGTAACATTAGTTTTAAAAAATGAGCCTCATGAGAATAAACAAACATTGCAAGGGGTTATATGTAGCATATCATGAAAGTAAACACAGTAGGCCCTTGCATAAAATTTTAATTCACAGTAACCCTTCAAATAGATTGCCATGTGTGTAATGAATCTGCGTGATTAGTGTTATGACTGCACTCACAGTGCCATCTTTTTTCAAGGTAGCCGATGTTGAAACTTCGTAACTGACTAAGCCTCAGTCTGGGAACTGAAAATTCCCAGCGGTGATCACAGCTGTCTTTTTTAGGGGCACGAGGAACAAGAGACACTCTTGTTTCTCCTAAGCACTTCCAGGTGAGCACATATTTCTGGTTTTGGAAAAAAGAAAAAAATATGTTTTGATAGAAAAAACCGGTACGAAATTGATGGTTCTGCTCGAAGTTAAAGGTTATACTAAATACATATAATATTGAAGCATAAATTTTCTTAAAATAAGGACCAATTAATTGTCACCAATAATTAATAAAAATCAGCTGACCGAGTTCATTGAAAGAGCAGAGCTTTTCTTGATAGCAGCTGTGTTCATTGCAGCACCTAACGAAGCAGAACCAACCATCCACTTCGTAAGTGGCCTCCAAGATCTGCTTTGGCAGCGTGCAGAACACGAAGTTAACCCAATGTATAAACCAAAGCAACCACCATGTGAATGCCACCACCAAACATAGTCAAGGATCAGGGTCACCTCCAGATTTCTTTAAAACTTAATTGTTTGCTTGCTCATTCGTTTCACACCTTTATAACAGCCACGGTAATTTTTTCAATGATACACACAGATACTTCGTGCACACCAGATAATCATTACAAAACTAATTTTCCTTTCATGTTTTTAAATGAAAAGTAATTATTAGTGTCCATGCATAAGTACATGTTCGTACAACTGACCTTCATGAGGTCTTGCTCGTCGTAAGAGACGTCTAAGGTAGCATTCCCTCTCTTCAGTGATGTGTCTTTGGGAGTCCCCAGTTCCTCACGGAAAGTGTCGAACCCTTAGAAAAACAAGCAGTCATGTAGAAAACTAACGTAATGTAAATGAATACATACTACTACTAATAATGGTAAATCTTTTTCTCTAAATCAACATACCGGACTGGTCAAGGTGAACTTTGGCAACAGCTTTTTCAACATCGTCAGTCACAAGCTCTACATTGAACATGCATTTGTTGACAATATCTTCACGGTTGATCATCCGCAGTCCTTTCTCCAGGTTGTTTCCTGCAATTTACCAAGTACATAGTAATGTGTTTTCTCAGAGTGACTCATTCACCAGCTCACGACTATTAACTTCCACTTTTCATATACAATAGAATCTTGGTAAACATAAATCACTGAAATAGAATTGCTGCTTAAAATGAAATGTTTCTAATTCGATCGATTTTGTACTTGACTACTGCACCCATATATGTCTTCTCAGAAAAGATAACGCCTGCTAAATGGAACATATTTTCCTGATCCTTTCAGGTCCACTTAACAAAATTTTACACTGCTGAGCTGCCATTATTCATAACATTAAAAGTCAATTCACTTCAATTTCAGCAATCTGAAAACTGCTGCTAGAACTTTCACACACAACTTCAGTTAAGACCCCGTTCACATTAGATTGATTGATATGATTGATATGTGGGGTTTAAGGTCCCAAAACCACCATATGATTATGAGAGACGCCGTAGTGGAGGGCTCCAGAAATTTCGACCACCTGGGGTTCTTTAACGTGCACCCAAATCTGAGCACACGGGCCTACAACATTTCCGCCCCTATCGGAAATGTAGCCGCCGCAGCCGGGATCTCATTCACATTAGTGACATGAATATCTAGACATAGGAAGTACAGATGTTAAGTGAGCAAAGGATACATACGCCAAGATTTTTCTTAGTTAGCTATGCTACCCAATGAAAGTAGAGAAAGACAAAAAAGAAATAAAGCAAAAATGCCAAAATACACAGCTGTTAACTTGAACAATGTTGCCTGCTGGCACAAAGAACTTTTATCACACTATATCGTGTGTCTGAAAACATCGCCACAAGGTTTTGCTATGTGTTTCTGGAAGAAATTGTTATACCATTTCATGAATGGCCCAGGTTACTACCTACTTGAATTTAATAATTTTGTAAGTTATATATAAACATACATTTTTAGAGACAGTGTCCCTCCAGTAACTTATTAGAATGCTAGATTTCTATTCGAGGAAGAAGCCTCAAGTTGGGGGGAGGGGGCATCTTCGACTACACCTATTCAAATGCAAGCCGATTTCCAAAAAAATTCTATTTGAGCCAGCTCCTGAACCAATCTTTTGGTGTACTTGGGATAGAACAATGCATTCTAGTGCCTGTAGGAGAAAATTATTCCAATTTCAACCTGTCACTTTTGATAAGGATGGTTGAAAATTGGTAGGAAACAGAATAGAATCACTAAGATTACAAATTTGCAACTCTGCACTTAAGAGGCAGATGTCGAAGTTCTATAAATGGCATCCAATAAAGTACCTAGAGGGGTCAAATGTGATGTACAAACTTACTGTATATAGGAACATTGTGGAATGTACTCAATAGTTTTGCAAAAGTCCCATCTAACAATTAGTAGCATATTTCAAACAATTACAACATACAGTGAAATCTCGATACAACAAATTTGAAGGGACCGCGGAAAATAGTTCGTTATTTTGAAATATCGTTATAGTGAAAACATCGAAAATTCGCATTAAAAATCGTAAATGCAACAAAAGGAGTCGCCTACCTTTGCTGTGTACACATCCGCAAACGCTTGATTTTATGACGAGCGTGAAAAGAAACAAAACGCGAAGTATTCCGGAATGAGCGCACGTTTATTTGAAAAAGTCGGTGATCTTGGCCTGGCGGGTGCCCCTCAACTGCCGCAGGACGAACGCTTCGAAGTTGTCCACATTCTTATGCTCTGCTTCGGTGGCATTGCTGCACCTGCCAAGGTAAGTGCGCATCTTTCGCACGCATTCCATGATGTCGGCGTTGGAAAGCGATTCTTCTGGTTGGCTAACGGGCGCGGTCTCAGCATCGTCCTCGCCATTGGCGTCCTCGTCGCTGCTATCACCACGAACAGCACTGACGATGTCATCGGTCGTCAGTTCGGCTGACGTGCATGCTTCGTCGTCGCACTGCACATAGTCCTCGAACGTCACCGAGGCATCCATCGCGAGTATTTCGACGACTTCTTGCCACATGCCACTCGCGTCGCTTTCTTCGCTGCCTAGTTCAGATTCAGATGGCATTACTACCAAGCCTGCCTTTCTCCAGCAGTTCTGGATGGTGGTTGATGTAACGCTCCACCAGGCCCCGGTAACCATTTCTGTGGCCTGTTGCACATTGATGGAGGTAGGCAGCTTCATCCGAAGATTTATCAGCAATCGCTGAACCAGGCGTGTCCGGTAATGGGCCTTGACACTTTTTATGATGCCTTGGTCCAGTGGCTGGAGCAAGGACGTACAGTTTGGAGGCAAGAATTCCAGCTGTACATTTGTCAGCCAGACATTAACAAGATGCGCCGAGCAGTTGTGGGCGATAATCAGGATTTTCCTACCTGCGCTCCTCATCTCATCGTCCACCTTTAGTAGCCACTCAGAGAATAACTCTCGTGTCATCCACGCGCGTGGATTAGCCCGATAATCGCACGGCAATGAAACAACGTTCCTCATGCAGCGAGGCTTCTTGTATTTGCCGATCACCAAGGGCTTCAGCTTCTTGGTGCCTGTGGAATTGCAGCATAACAATACCGTAATCCGGACTTTGGACTGCTTGCCGCCTTTGCAGCTGTTCCCTTTAAAATGCATGGTTTTATCAGGAAGCATTTGATAGAAGAACGCCATTTCGTCCGCATTGAATATATCATCTTCGCAGTATGAAGCGACGATTTCGCGGAACTTCTCGTCCCTCCATGCAGCAGCGCTTGCTGCGTCTGCCGCCTTCTCTTCACCAGACACCACTTGCCAGGTGATTCCATTCCTTTCACGGAAACGATGAAGCCACCCCGCGCTTGCTTCAAAGCCTGTGATGTCCAAAGCATCAGCGAATTGCCGGGCTTTTTCCTGCAGACACTGGCACATTTTGAGAACGCGCGTCCTTGAACCAAGTCAGTACTGCAGCATCCACTTCTTGGAAATTCCCAAGTCGGAGCCGTTTTCTTGACGGTGCAAGTTGGGACCCTCGGTGCAGCTGGAGGATCTTGTGTCGGTCCTTCAGGATGGTTGCGACAGTCGATGGTGCAACCCCCATCTCGTTCGCAATGTGGATTTGTTTTTTACCGGCGTCCACTTGAAAAAGAATATCCACTTTTTCTTTCAAAGAAAACTGCCTCCGTTTCTTTTTCGCGCTGCTTCCGGAGCTCATCGCGAACGCAGAAACGAATCACTCTAACCTTTAAAACGAGAAAGCCGTACGACAACTGTGCGACGTTGCCGGTCGACGTAACAAAACAAAGGCGGCGAGGTTAGGCTCAACCTGGCTCAACGAGCATGCAAAAAAAAAAAAAAACATCGAAAACAAGGTACTGGCGATGGCGATAGGGCTAGCCAGGCTAGTGCGCATTTAGCATAAGGCAACGCATGGAGAAATGAGCAGGAGCTCTGATGATGATGATAGTGCCACATATGGCGCTCGGCATTTAGAACGCCGCACGTAATTTTAACGCTAGAAATTCGTTATTTTGAAGTGCTCTTAAGGTACCAGGGTGATAAAATTTGATACGTTATTCTGAAACATTCGTTATTCTGAAATTCGTAGTAGTGAAATATTTTTACATTGAACCAATGGACATTTGGAAGCGTATTTCCGAAATATTCGTTAATCTGAAAAAATCGTTAATCTGAGGTTCGTTATAACAGGATTTCACTGTATAACAATTTTGCCCACTTTGGATGTGTTATGCCCAGTTAAAAAAGTTGACATATTTTTTTTTTCACTGCTTAGTAAGAAAGTTGTAAGCTTTATGCTAATTAGTGTTTCAATGTTCCAATTTGCATAAGTTCTGATTAAAAACAATGACCAAAATAAAAACTCTACTTTCCTACTACTACCCCACTCTTCATTTTAAATTTACAAATTTATTCAGATTTGGCACAGTGGTTGTTGAAAAAAAAAAAGGATTTGTAAATTCTCTCATACGTACCTAGATAGGAGCGCATGAGCTAAACTTTTCTCTAAGAACTGATTATTCTGCAGTCACTAACATAGCACATGTCATACAACTGATGTACTAATAGTGAATTATAACGTGATATACATAAATGGTATGCTTGTGAAGAACATGCATAAATGGCGATGTTTATGTAACACTATTTTGTTTTCTAGAATTTGAAAAATGTACCTCAGGCAAGGGCTGTACACTGTCATTGTACCATTGTGCCACATGCATTCAAGAACAGTATAATAGTACAATAGCAGCTCAGAAAAGCCCTAACTACACCCCATTTCACTTTAAAGTAGTGTACCAATTTTTGTTCATTATTGCAAAAGATTCCACAGAGTAACAAAAGAGCTAAAGTATGCTTTTAAGCGATACAGCTAGAACAGCCTCTGCCAACGACTTTAAGTTCGGGCTGTTGACAAATGAACATAAATTATGACATAAATAAGTAAAAAGCCTGTCGCATCTGTTCCACCTGCCATATATTTGCTCATAAAGCCTTGTCACTAAAGAAGAAGCAACATAGGCTGACCTGTGGCCCGGCCACCAGCCCTCTTCATCCACAGTCGGAGCATTAACAGTGCTTGCTGAGCCAGGTCACTAGGGCATTCTGTGCGAATGGATGCCACATCTTGATCTGGCACATCTAACTGTGCTGCCAATGCTGGCCAGTCTGACCCCAACTCTCGTGCAATGTCCGAGAGCCGCAAATCTGCACGGTGGATCAGCTCAGGCTTTGCTGCATATGTAATGAGCATCACAAAAAACTGAAATCAGAAAAAACTCACTTTTTTCTTCACTGTAAGTAGTGATTTCAAAAAGTGAAATAACAAACAAGCAATCTTGCAAGTCAGCACACAGGCAACTTAAATGTTCTTTATCACACAGAGTAAACTCACTGTCAGAACAACTAAGAGCAATGCTCTGATATTGGTCAATTAAGATACCTAGCAATCAACTAAAGTTTTAGCTTTCCTCAGAAGAACAACTAAGAGCAATGCTCTGATATTGGTCAATTAAGATACCTAGCAATCAACTAAAGGATTTAGCTTTCCTCAGAAGTCTTTGCGATAAGGACATGGACAGCTGGGAATGGGGGCTATATGTCAGAATTAAATTTCCTCTAGATAAGACAAATGTTTAATAGAGGTGCTGATGTGAAAATCTTGTCTTTTCCTTTTTATGCTTACTTGGGCATCATCTTTGTAACTATAGAATCAAGGTTTGATTTTTTGAGAATGCAACGTATCATAACACTTTATTGTTACCAATTAAAAATAAATGACTACAGAGATGAAGTACGAGGCTGGTTACATTATGAAAATGGGACGTGGTTGGCCATGTCACTCATGGACCTGACAGCTAGCAAAGTGCCGCAGTTGAAGGCCAATCAATGACCATGCTGACAAAAGTCAATAGGACACCATTCCTTCCTGACTCTTAATTTATTGACACATTCTTTTTTTCTGGCGTCTCGTCCTTTCTCTTGATCTTTAGCAGGCACTAGCTATGTGGATTGCTACAACCCTGCAGATGGCATTCTGCTTGTTATGCAACAGGAAAACACCGTATTCACTCACAGAATGAACGCACTTCCATAATAAACGCACCCCTAACTTGAGTCATTAAAATTTAGATTTTTTCCCCTCCGCGTAATAAACGCACCCCCTACATTCATCCGCTGCAGTCCTGCTAACCGACACCAGCGCCTCCTCACCCATTGCATCTTTTTTTGTTTTTTTTATTATTTTTCCAACACACTCCCTCCCCCCCCCCCCCCCCTCGCCCGTTGCCGCAGGCTGTATTGTTTTTCTTCTATCTGTTCGCGGCACCTCCCCTGTCTTATCTGTGCGCCACAGTGGGGTTCACAAACAGTGCGAGTCTAGAGACATCGCAGCTAATAAGCACACAGAGAGCGAAGGTCATGAAACTGCCCACGCCAACCGATCGATGGTCGCTTCCTGCAAATACGAAAAATCCCAACCCCGTGCACGCGATTTTGGAGCGACGACGACAGGAATTGCTGTCGCAAAGGGTCTTTCGTCACTATCGCTTCGCAAGTTCCAGGAAAACCAGAAAAAATTGCTTGTTGTCCAAAAAAGATCGTGATGATTTCCGCAACATGGTAGGACCCCCGATTCTCGCTTCGCTTATTATCCTCGCGTAGAGGAACTTCTCATGTAGAAGCGAGGCGGCGGCCATATTTTGTCCTTAATCTTGTTATCGACGGTTTGTCTTGATGCTTCAAGGGTAGCTTGCTACAATGTTAACAGCGTCGTGACTATCGTGCGAGGTAGCCGCGAAGTTGACAAAGTGCGTCGTAGCGCACACTTTTGGGCGCCTCTCGAGATCACAGCAGATAACACTGTTGTGGTTAAATGATTGCGAGAAAAAATAGCCGCAAGATGCTTTTATGGTGTGCGCGGGCAACCCGGGGACAGCTTGCAGAAGATAGCGCCATCAACCACCGAAGATAAATAAAGTGCAACAAAGAAGCTGCTTTCGAACAGTGTACGCGTGCGTCAATTACAAAAGACCAAGCAACCTAACTTTTTTTGCATTACATTTTTTTGCTTCTCCCGAAAAAGTTTCTTGAAAATTTATCCCGCGTAATAAATGCACCCCCCCAACTTTGCTCCGATTTTTCTAGAAAAAAATGCGTTCATTATGCGAGTACATACAGTAAACATAGACAAGCTGTGCTGGTTAACGAAGCGAAAAATAGCGCGTAACACAAGACAGTGAAAGAAGTGGACGTCTTTTTCAATATCTTGTTTCGCGCTGTTTTTCGCTTCGTTGATCATGTACCAACCGGCCCAAATAAGCCCTTTAGAACTGTATAGGTTGTCCTGCCACCTTGCTACAGTGCCCACAAGATACAAAAGTTTAACAAACTGCTTCAATTGTTTTGAATCATACTAGAAATGATGCACAACAATCGATAGCACTGTCAATACTATCAATAGTTGAGTGACTAATGAAATATCAATGGTAAAAAACTATAAAAAATTTGACAGTACTATCAATAGTATAAAATTAACCAAATGAATTCAACATGAGCTTGAAGATTAATTTTTTGCATAGACAAGATCTAGAATTTTTACAGCAGAAATAATTGCTATAAGTTTTGTTAAAACGTCCGCTTCAAGTTATATAAATGTACCGTTGTTTTTCAGCGCAAACACTTCCTAGAAAATTCTAAATTTATGCTTCTAATAGTTGTAAGAACTTGATTGCTTTTAAATATTCCGCATAAGCGAAGAGAGTATTGCGGATAGTAGATTGTCGTGAATGTTTTGGCGATGTCGTCGGCCAACATCGGCCTATTTATTTATAGCACTATCAATAGTTTTACCTCCATTAATGCTACTGATGGTACTATCGATTGCACTATAGTTAATACTATCAAAATTTTATCAATAGTAGTACTGTCAATAAGCTCTCGAAAAAGCTATCAATGCTATCGACAGTCTATCTGCCAACAGTTCTGCATCACTACTAGACATCATGGTATGTCATAAAATAAAATGTCATAAACTGTCAGAAAATGAAGAAACATTTGTGGTAAAATATTGTTGAAAGAGCTGTTAAAATGTCCATTTCAAGTTATGTTGATGTACAATTGTTTTCTAGTGCAAATATTTCCTAGAAGCTTGTACATTTATGTTTTAAAGTTTTAAAGGCTTAATTACTTTTAAAAACCTGCATTGCCTTGATTTTCTACCAAGGCTGAAGTCTGTGTCAGTAATCAGGTTTATCAAAGTATATTTCAAGAATTTTATGAATATGGCCACCTGAAAGGTACAATAAAAACAATGGCATGTAATTGTATGATATGCAAAAATAATTTTCATGTTCTGTGGTGGATGTTTTTATACAGATAACAGGTCTCGATGCCATTTTTTAAGTAAATATAGATAAAGACTGTCTGTTTTTGCTCATCATTTGAACATTTACATGTCTCGGAAGAACTATTGTACTCACTCACATGATATCATCCCGAAATTCTAGAGCCCCCCCCCCCCCAAATTTCAATTTTTTTTGTTCTTGCACTGTTTTGTCATCAATGCAGTATGCAAGTTACTTGTCTGCTGTCAAGGGCTATTGAGCACGCATGCACTGGCAAGGTACTGTCCCGGACTAATAACATTACCTGCAACTAGCACAAACTCCAAACTCACAGTGCTCTCACTCGCGCAACCTTTACTTTGTCATACATGATACACAAACATTAAAGAAAACATTAGAATTCAATCAACCAAAAGAACAAGCAGGATTTAGAACAGGCTACTCAACAATTGACCACATTCATACTACCAATCAGGTAATAGAGAAATGCTCAGAGTATAACCAACCACTATACATAGCCTTCATAGACTACAAGAAGGCGTTTGATTCAGTAGAAATATCAGCCGTCACGCAGACACTGCGGAATCAGGGCGTAGATGAAGTATATATAAACATTCTGGAAGAAATCTACAGGGGATCAACTGCTACCATAGTGCTTCATAAAGAAAGCAACAGAATACCAATCAAGAAGGGTGTAAGGCAGGGGGACACAATCTCCCCAATGCTATTTACCGCGTGCTTACAGGAGGTTTTCAGAAGCCTAGAATGGGAACAGTTAGGTATAAGAGTTAATGGAGAATACCTTAGTAACTTGCGCTTCGCCGATGACATTGCATTGCTGAGTAACTCAGGGGACGAATTGCAACTCATGATTACAGAGTTAGACAAGGAGAGCAGAAAGGTGGGTCTAAAAATTAATCTGCAGAAAACGAAAGTAATGTACAACAACCTCGGAGAGGAGCAGCGCTTCGAGATAGGTAATAGTGCACTTGAAGTTGTAAAAGACTATGTCTACTTAGGGCAGGTAATAACCGCAGAGTCTAACCACGAGATTGAAGTAACTAGAAGAATAAGAATGGGGTGGAGCACATTCGGCAAGCACTCTCAAATTATGACAGGTAGATTGCCACTATCCCTCAAGAGGAAGGTATATAACAGCTGTATCTTGCCGGTACTTAGCTACGGAGCAGAAACCTGGAGACTTACAAAGAGGGTTCAGCCTAAATTGAGGACGACGCAGCGAGCAATGGAAAGAAAAATGGTAGGTGTAACTTTAAGAGACAAGAAGAGAGCAGAGTGGATTAGGGGACAAACGGGGGTTAAGGATATCATAGTTGAAATAAAAAAGAGGAAATGGACATGGGCCGGGCATGTAGCGCGTAGACAGGATAACCGCTGGACATTAAGGGTAACTAACTGGATTCCCAGAGAAGGCAAGGAGGTTAGGGGAAGACAGAAGGTCAGGTGGGCAGATGAGATTAGGGAGTTTGCGGGTATAGAGTGGCAGCAGCAAGCGCAGGACCGGGTTAACTGGCGGAACATGGGAGAGGCCTTTGTCCTGCAGTGGACGTAGTCAGGCTGCTGCTGATGATGATGATGACATGATACACAACTCAGTGACAAAGGGCTTCGCCTTGCTAAAGTTAAATTTCCAATGCAATATGGGACGGCATAACACATTTGACTTTTTATGGTGTGGCACAATCACTGAATTTTGTGAGCCTCAAAGTAAGCACTTACTCTTTGCAATCGTATAGTTTAATATAAAGGTTGTGTTCGGCTTTTCGTACACCGCTACGTGATTCCCATTTCAGACTAATCAAAACAAGCATCGGCCAGCGGCTACTTTAGGTCATGTAGTGACTACATGACCTAATGTAGTGACCTCATGTAGTGACTACATGACCTAGTGACTACATGACAACAAAACCTTCGTGCATCAGCGAAGGTTTTGTTGGGCCTACAAACGAGCACTCCACCAGTAGTGTCCATGCACAATCACTCTAGCAACAGACAAACAGAAGTCTCCATATATGATGAATTTCATTAGGCCTCCCTTACAGTCATTTTGTTTGCTTTTAACATATTTCCTACTTTCCTGTGTAGCCACGGAATGCAAGGAGGGTGGCAATGGTAAGGCGAAACTGAGCTGAGGAACACCTGAGATTAAATGTTCCTCAGCTTATAATGAGGAACACTATTAAGAATTCACATTTTCGTGAAATTTTGAGCTCCTTTGTCAGTCTACACTGATTAAGTTATTTTTTGAACACAGAGTGGTTGCAGTCAAATCACTTTCATGTAGCCCAAATAAAGACATTGAAGATGCCGAAATGGGCAATTACCCCTCCCCCCTTCTTTTTTTTTTTCAAATTTCATGATTCCGTACATTCATTCTGTGGAACAAATGATGTGAAACAAAGTGAAGGTGTGCCCCTATATACTAAGAAAGGCCTTGTTTAACTTGATTCCCTCACTATGCTCACGGTAGTAATTCAAAATATTTTGACCTACATCTTGATTATTCTTCCAAAGATTCTACCTGACATATTGCCGTTTCTCGTGTCTTGTGTGCCATTATACTGCTGTTCTCTTATAAAGTTGGCATTGCCATGCTCTGTGACAAAACTTTCGTGACAATACCTTCACCATCAGTACATCAACACGATTAATCGTCAGCTGTGCTAGGCCTATGGTACAACTGATTTCAATCGCTGAATGCAATGTTCACCTGTTCAAACTCCATGTGGACGAATGGCAAGGGCTAAAAGATAGTGCAGTTTAACTACAGAAACACATTAAGAGTACGCATGAAGCGGAATAAGTACGCATGCAAGCGGTATCTTCTTTTCACTGAGATGCCAATGATATGTTCAGTGAAAAGTTTTCACACAGCAGTCGATCACGCCAGTCAACCAGACTGGTTTTGTCGACATGAAACATTAGAGCTGCTCACTGTTACCCACCACACCACTAACAAGTCTCCTGAGTCACGTGGGTGCTCTGTGACAAAACTGACATACAAGACTTTTGAGGAATAATGGATACCAGTGATTAAAACTTTAAATGTTATACTAAATCTACCTTGATTCTTAGAACACAATGCTAGCATGCACATGTACAATGTTGCAAATTGGAAATTCTGGCCATAGTGAACAAAGGTGCTGTAGGTTGCCCTCTCATCATTCGTTATTGTGGCGTGTGATGGGTTTTTATGTTGCCTGTTTCCCTGTACCTCCTGTACCTTAAAAAAGAGAAGAAAAAAGTCGGTGTTTTGCAGCTCACAAATAAATGAGCCCTCTGTTTGAATTCCTCCGTGTGTGCGTATGTGTGTGTGGAAGAGGATAGGTATTTTTTTTTCCAATTGAGTAACTGGACATTATTAATCTAGATATTAACAAATGAAATTATAAGCACTGCATTGATTCGCAAATATACAGATAAATGAATGAGAAAGTTCTACAAAACTTTCCTTCAAGAACTTGCCTAGACCACTAGGAAATAAATGTGATGTTAGCTACAGGAGATTTTCAAAGAGTGCTCATTCAAATAACATATAAACTTAAACTTCCTTTAAATGTTCCACTTGAATTTTAGGATTGTATTATAGAATATGGTCAACCACTTCTCGTGTCTAGGCAGTCATTCTACAAAGCACATAATGCACACATTGACAATTCGTGGCTGAAAGGCTTTTCTCTATAGTGACAAGCAAGTTCACAAAAAAATAATAAAAATTTCCTTACCTAGCCCAGTCTCTTCGACAAAGCCATACTTCTTCTCTAGAGTAACCAGCTCCGAGAGGTTCTGTGTGGCTTCATACTGTGTGACAAAGTAGTTGGTGTTAAGCCCCCATGTCTGCCTGCAAACAGTAGGTCCTACCTCGGGTAAGGCAATGTTGAGGTTACAGAGTGGTGCCTGAGGGGGTTCTGTGGCACGAGCAGCCCGCGGCTGACGCATGAACGCAAGCCGTCCAAGAGGTTCCTGGTGAGGATCCTTAACACGTACAGAAAATGGCAGCCTGTTCTCTCGAAAGGCCTGGAACTGGAGCTGCAGCTGCTCGCCTGACTTTGTCACAGGAACCAAATTGCCTCCAAATTCCAGATACTGACTTTTCTTCTCAAGCACCTAGAGTACAAACAATGTATGCATCAGCCGTAAAATCTGAAAGACTCAATGAACAGGGCAGCTGTTGTAAAGCTAAAATTCACTGCACTTGTTTTCTAGGCATAGGCGTGCATAGGATTGTACATTAGGGGGAGAAGAAGGCAAGTTTAGAGGGACCATGTTGCCTAAGCATAAGATGTACCATGCCCAGGAAAATCGCAAGGATATGATCATTGCTATCCATTGCACAAACTATAAAAAAGCCCATTGTTCCATGCATGGTGCGATATGCAGCCACATCAAAATAAAGTTAGGGCCATGACTAGGGTGCCCGGATGCTTTATGGCAACCACACTAAAGTGCACACTCAAAGAAAAACCTGTCTATATTAAAACTAGAAGGCAATCATTGCCTTTTGCCTAGTTACTTCAGGGCAAACTTTGTTTAAATCAGCTTTGATGGCCAATTTGGTTGGTCAATTCGGGATCATAACACTGGAATTCATGGGTATTTGCCAGAGAAAACAGATTTATTCATTAAAACTTTGTAAAATTGGGTTTCATTAGATAAATTTTTTACTTTCTTTCTTTTACATTTTTTGCATTTAGTTTGCATTTGAAATAGGAAAATATACAAAACTACTCAGAATGCATTGAAATTTTTAGGACTTACTGCTTTGGTAATGTACAATCCTATGTCCCTGTATCTACAAAGAGTTAACATGGATACATTGCAGATAAATAAGCTTTGTTACATTGAGTTACAAATACATGGTGCTTTATGGACGTAAGTCATAAAATTGAAGTACAGTAAATCTTGGATATATTGAACTCAAAAAAGATCGCGAAATAGTTTGATGTATCGATGATTCGAAATACAAAATATGTGTATTTAAGGTGAAAATTAGAGCATCTCAGGTCTCGAAACAGTTTTTGAAAATCATAAAAAGCGCTTCCATAGCGATTTGCTCATTCGTAGTTGTAGTGTTGTGCGTTTACACCAGATGGCCTTTTGAGTCATTGGACTCACAATAGATGGTGCCACTGCGCTCGTGTGTATATAAACGCGCTGATAAAACTGGATTACTGTCATGGATCGTACAGTGGTGTAGCGTGGTTACTTTCACGTGTCGCCGTGCCGGCTACACGACATTCTGGCGACGAGAATGGCTTCCGCGGGCATTTTGCCACCTCCTCCTTTCCTGGCCACCCCCGGCACGCCCGATGTGCCATGGGCCCGATGGTTACGACTGTTCGAAAGGTTTCTGCTGGCGTCCGGAGCGAACGAGCTACCCGCACCCCGTCGCCGAGCCCTCCTGCTGCACTGTCTTGGGACGGAAGGACAGCGCATTTTCGACGCGCTTCCACCTAGTACGACGCAAACCAAGGCAGAGACAAAGAGTGCTGCACCCGGTGTCACGGCCACGCCAGATGCCGCCGCTGGAATCATCGGAACCACTGCACCTACTGGAACGCAAGACATGACCAAGGGAGCCCTATGCCCACCCGACGAGTACGACGTAGCCGTTGAGATGCTTTCGAAGCATTTCGCCGCCCCTTGCAACGTCCGCCTTCAACGCCATCGATTCCGGGAGCGTCGTCAACTGCAGGGTGAGCCCATCACTGATTTCGCCGTAGCGCTTCGGGAGTTAGCAGCTCTTTGCAATTTCGCCACTCAAGCGAACAAAAACCTGTGTGAAAAGTTCGTAGCAGGTGTCACGTGCCCGCGGCTACGAGAGCGATTGCTGCTGGAGGGCAATAACCTTACGTTCGATCATGCTGTCGAGGTAGCACGGCTTCGTGAGCTAACCCAGCGTGAATCCGAAGCCTTCGCCAATCCTGTGCAGCGCATTCAGCAGCAGTTGCGAGACAGCTCAGCCAGGCACGATCGACGAGATAACGACGATAATGGCACACGCCTCCCGGGCCGTCGCCACTTCAGCTGCTCACGTGTGTACAGCGCACCTTCACCTGATATGAATGCCGCCGCCGCTGCTGTCCCCGGGCCTAGAAATGTAAATGCCTGCGGAAACTGCGGCGCAGCACGGTGTTCGCCTACGGAATGTCCCGCGCGCGATCGCACATGTTTCGCCTGCGGATGCCGCGGCCATTTTAAGAGAGCATGTCGCAGCTACCGTCGCGGCCGAGAAGGGTATTCTGCAGAGGTCCAGGAAATCGTTCCGGAAGAGGATGCTACCAGTGTCATTAGCATCTTGGCGGTTCGTACTGATAAGAGCACAGGCGTCTATGTGGATGTCAATGTCGCGTCAGTTACCGCGACGACACGGGTGCATACCATGAACTTTTTGGTGGACACAGGCTCGGCCGTGTCTATTATGGGTGAGCACCAATTCCAAGGCTTGTTCGCAAACGCAGTACAACTGACAAATTCCCATCTTACATTCCTGGATTTTTCGCGCAGGAAGATTCCCGTTCTCGGGTCATTTCACGCCATAGTCACATACAAGGGGAAAGAAGCCATTGTAACTTTTCATGTTACGCCATGTGGTACATCTCTCCTTGGCCTGGATGCTGTTCAAGCCCTTGGCCTTCGCATCATAGGAGAGGAATTGCGCTGCCTGCAAATGTCCACGCAGGAATGCCGAGAGCTTCCAGCAATGAGTTCAGGCCTTCCCCAAAGCCCCAGGCATGAAAAACCCCTTGGCCCTCCCAAGTTTGGAATGCCGCCAACACTGTGGACCAAGTTTGGCCACTTGTTTTTGCCTGGCCTGGGACTTGTAAGAGGTGTGCAACACAAAGTTAAGATGAAAACTTCCATCGCGCCAGTCGCACAGAAGCTGAGACCCCTACCATTTTCAGTCCGCCAGCCGGTCTTTGACGAGATTGAGAAGCTACTCGCTGCTGATGTCATTGAGAGAGTCAATGCTTCCGAGTGGGTATCTCCTATTGTAGCAGCCCGCAAAGCAGATGGTAGCATTCGACTGTGTGTCGATCTCCGGGAACCCAACAAAGCTATAGTAGCAGACAACTTCCCTTTGCCTCATATGGAGGAGCTGCTTCATGCCCTCAATGGAGCCCGCTGCTTTTCCAAGGTGGACCTGGCATCAGCCTACTACCAGGTTGTGCTGCACCCAGACAGCAGGGACATAACTCCATTTATAACTCACGATGGCCTCTTTCGATTCAAGAGGGTCTGCTTCGGGTTGGCATCGGCACCAGCTGCGTTTCAGCAGATCATGACGAAAATTCTTGGAGGTTGCAAAGGGGTCTTATGCTACTTGGATGACATAATCATTTTTGGCAAGACGGAGAGTGAACACAGGCAAAACCTGGAGCAAGTACTGGAACGAATAGCAGAAGCTGGGCTCAAGCTCAACGAAAAATGCGTCTTCAACACGTCGGAGCTGTCGTTCTCAGGACATCACGTCAGCGCAGAGGGTATAGCACCGCTCCAGACCAAGATTGATGCAATCATCAATGCTCCTGCGCCTAGAGATGCAGCCACGCTACGCTCCTTTTTGGGGCTAGTTGAATACTATTCCAAATTCGTGCCGCGACTGGCAGAGCAAATAGAGCCAATGCGTCGTCTACTTCGCAAAGACGTGCACTTCGACTGGGATGACGCTGCGAAAGAGAGCTTCGCGGGAGTAAAAAGACTTCTAGCATCCCACAAGGTCCTCCGAATGTTTGACCCGACGCTACCTGTCATTGTCGCAACAGATGCCTCTGCGTACGGTCTCGGTGCTGTACTGCAGCAAGTGGAGAGGTCCCATGTGCGTACTGTGGCATTTGCATCGCGGACATTAACAGAGACAGAACGAAAATACTCGGCCGGAGAGCGCGAGGCCCTTGCCTGTCTGTGGGCCTGCGAGAAGTGGCACGTTTACCTCTGGGGCAGATCATTTACTCTACTGACGGATTACCAGGCTTTGGTGGCACTGCTCTCATCCCGTAGCACAGGACAGCGGCCACTTCGTATTGCAACGTGGACCGCACGACTGCTGCGCTACAACTTCAAAATACAGTACCGCAGCGGAGCCCACAACCAGGTAGCAGATGCCTTGTCCAGACTGCCCGTGCCAGACACAGAAGGGGGCTTCCATGTTGATGAAGAGGTTGTGTCCTTGGTTACATCGTCTGTACATCGGGAGAATCTTCAGGTTGCTACCGCGGAGGATGACATACTACGGCAGGTAATGCAATTTATCCAGTCATCATGGCCAACAAGGAAAAGACTTGCCGCAGAACTGACTGCGTACTACGAAATACGAGACGAGCTCTCGGTAGTAGATGAGTTGCTTCTGCGCACAGAACGCATTGTAGTGCCTGCCAAGCTAAGGGATACATTCATCCAGTTAGCTCATGAGTCACACCCGGGAATTGTGAAGACTAAGCAGCGCATCAGGGAGAAGTACTGGTGGCCTTGCCTTGACAAGCATGTGGAGGCCGCCGTCCGGAGTTGCAGCGCCTGTCAAACCTCGGACAAGAGTGTCAAGAACTGGCAAGCCCCACTACAGCCTATCCCGCTTCCTGACAGGCCTTGGGACAAAATATCAATAGACATCATGGGCCCCTTTGAACGTGCACCGGCCGACTGTCGATTTGTCATCGTGGTAGTGGACTACTTCTCCAGATGGCCAGAGATTGCGTTCTGCAGTGACGTCACTTATTGCACGGTGATCAACTTTCTGCTTGCTGTCTTTGCGCGAGTGGGTTACCCGACTGAACTAGTCTCAGATCATGGCCGACAGTTTACGTCGAGTGAATTCGAGTGCTTCCTTGCAGACAGGGGCATCAAGCATTTCTTCTCGGCAGTTTACCACCCTCAAGCCAATGGCTTAGTGGAAAGATTCAACAGGGTCTTGAAATCGTATATACAACTAGCTCTCCTAGAGCAGCGACCAATCAAGACCACAGTTATAGAGTACCTGGGTATTTACCGAGCCACACCCCACAGCGCCACTGGCATCTCTCCAGCAGTGTTGCTTCATGGCCGCCACATGAGGACATCATTAGATGTTGTTGGCCAGCCATCAGCGGATTTCAGCACCCATCCCGCCC